TTCCAGGGTGGTGGTCATTATCTGAATGGCCTCTACATTGTGATAATGGGAAAAATATTGATGGCCTCGATGGCTATTTTATTGGATTATTTCAAAAGCAATTGGCGTTGGTGCTAGAATCAATGACGTGCGATGGACTACTGCACCGCTTTAAAAATCCTACACATTATGCCAGCAGCATGCAGGTCTTCAGTCTTCAAACACAGATGCATGCCTTCAAACAACACAAACACTAGATGTTATTCTGGAAATAAAGAGAAGCAGTGTGAATCTGCTTTTCCCATATTTTCAACAAGTTATTGGCTATTTTAGGTCTTTAATCAAAATAACTATTTGGACTTAGCTTCAGAACAGCAAAAACCTGCTGGCTCTTTCAATGCAGGCAAAAACTTAAGCTGTCAAAATGCAATTCATGAAACAACTGTAATTTCAGCAATCAAGTACGAGACATTTCTTGTTTCCCATGCTAGGTCAGCACTTTCTTGTAGAGATAGTTCGTATCATCAAGATGTGCTCTATAGAGGTGACTCATTTGTGCATTTTGGAGTTCAGACAAAGTCTGTTAGCTGTCTTTTCTCTGTTACCTTCCCCATGTTTTCCCTGTGTTCGTAACAGCATGATTCTGTCTGCAAGTGAAACAGCTTCTCATCTACACCTTCCTTACACATAAAGAGGCTTATAAGTGTATCAGGCGATGGCTGAGAAACCCAGATTACACGCCAGCTGAAAACTATCACTGATTGTTCCAAAACGACCTTGCTTAATAGGGGTGGGTTTTTTTGTGCTAGTCTAACTATTTTGACAACTGCTACAGCTCGTAAACGTGGATATAATTACACAGGGCTGAAGATCCCTAATAATGAAGAAGTAGTCCTTCTTCTGTATAGAAGTAATTATACTAGTACAGCTACGCTAATATCAGCATAACTGCAATACACAAAACCAGATGTACCATTTTAACTGTCTCAGTATCATTAAAATGGGCAGTGTAACATTTAAGTGTATGTAAAGCCTTAGAGCAGAGAAATGCTCAATACGTTCTCCCTTTTGGAAAAGTATCTATTACCTTAGGAAGACCGTATCTGCCTTGACAATGTGAAACCTTGCTCAAACTCTATCAATCAGTTCAATTCTGCCTATGTAGTCAGACATGAAATTGAGTTACAGTGGTTTAATGGGTTACCCCATGCCAGTGGAGAAAAATCTGTGTGCAGTCCAGTAGCCCATCACCAACACAAGGCAGAAATTGTTAGATCAAACAACTCCATTTCACAGAGGTTTAAATGGTTCTTTTTTTTCCTCATGTTTGCTTGTAGTCTAAGAGTGTGCACACACTCTGTTACTATGCTCAGCTGAAGCCTAGTAAGTTATTAAATAGTAGTAAGTTGATCGTGTGACTGATCTCCAAATTATAATTTTGAAATAATTTAACTAGATCAGTTTTAAATAGGTGACTGGGGACTGAAAAAGTGTATGTAAGAAATGAGTTTGTCCTATATGCCGATAAAATAAGACCTTTAGTGACTGCATTTGGCTCGCTTGTATACTGATGACTGGATATTTTCAGAGGTATCTTAGAATTCACAATTTCCATTTGAAATGTTTTCAGGTGTGCTTAGGCAGCTTTCTCCCGTTTAACCCTAGAATTTCATGTGTGTGTTTGTTTCAAGAACATTACATGATTGTTTGGATTTCAGACAATTTTACCTTCATAATGAATCTTCTTTTTTATTTTTCTCAAACTGTCACAGATTTACTGATGTGCAAAGAAGCCCCTTTGGAAGGCCAAACCACCACGCTATGGAACAGACAGCTATGTTTGGGTTTGATTCTGAACAAAACCTTGCTTTTTGTTTCATAAGTTTTATTAAAAGAGATAGAAGAATTATTATACAAATGTTAAATGGATATCTCATCTCTTGATGACAATTATGGTTATGGCAAGAGTATTACCGTCAATTGTAATGCCTGAAAATGTTGTGAGAACTTCAAGAAACCGAGATCTGGCTGTACATCGTCAGGTAATGCCTCTGGGGTAACGTGCGGAAGAAAAAGAGGGTTCTGCTTTTTCAGAATTAAGAAAGATTGTGGTCATATTAAAGTCTATGTTAGCTTCATCATCTTAGCCGATACTGAAGACCAGTGTAATTTGCAAGAGAAATTTGAATGTAAATATTGTCAGCATTTTTTCACACTTTTTCATTGTGAAACAGAAACCATTGAATGTAATGAGAAGGAAGTTAAGAAACTCCCTCTCAGGATACTGTGCGTTTCTTACATATTGCCACACCCTGTCAGCAATAAACAGATCTCTTAATTGCAGCTAATCTGGATTTCTTTAAATATTGTACTGCAAACACCTGGCCAAATTCTGTTTTGCAGCAGTGTCCACAGTTGCTGCTTGGATCCAAAAACTCCTGAGGTCAGAATTTTATCATTACTTCTTTAGCTTACTGGCAGATTCTCCCTCTCAGTTTTGAGGGCTGTTGGGTTTTTTCCTTGCTTTAAGAAAAGGGAGAGGAGAGAAAAGAGAGAGAAATAACAGCTCTAAATATTGAGGTATTAGCTATAAAGCTGACTTATGATGGCAATGGAAATTTCCCTATACTTAAGTCCTTGTGGGGGAGCAGCGTTTAGGGGGTAAGAATACTTCCATAATTATGCTCATTGCTGTTTGGTCTCTTCTTTGAGCCATGAGCAAAAGCACCAATATTCTTTTCAAATAAGACAGACCTTGAGACTAATTTCTCATCAACCTCTAAATAACTTGTCAATATTAACTTACTTCTGGTTTACCTGAACTGGATTAGGACTGAGAAGGTGGAGGAAGGATGCTTTGCTGGAAATCTGGCTCCCATGAGGTCAGTTTGCCAGTACATTGTTGAAAAGTTTTACCAAGTTGTTTTTTACCTTAATCTTTTTGTGACATTTATTTGCACAATTAATACCTTACTGTAAATTTTATTTCACAGCAACTGCATTGCTTTTTCTAACTCTGCTGTGAATGAGGCAAGCCTAAGAATTATTCTTTGCAGCTTTGCTTTTTTTCTGTGCATATTCCTATTTAGAGATAGGGATGGGCCTAACTGCCCACCTTTTGATAAGCAAAGAATAAAACAGTTAAATTCTATCAATCAATCAGACCTGTCAGAGTCAATCTAAGAGAACATGTTATTTTTAGTCCTGCTTACTTTTTAGATAAAAGCTGCTTCAAGGGAAAAAGATCAACATATAACTGAAATTAAGCTCTTCACAATCCCTACTCTGCTGTGTAATTCATAAATTAATGGATCATGAAAAGACCTTAAAAGAGTGTTATCCATCAGAAATAATACCTTTGTATGTGCAGTGCCTATATCCCAGAAAACCTTGTGTTGAATTTGCCTATCTAGGAGCCTGGAATCCTTTTGAGAAAGGATGAAAGAACCATAAAATAAGTTTATGTTGCTCAGTGCCCAAATGTTATAAATGACTAACACAATCTGAGCAAAACAGTAAATCTAATCTTTTGCAACATGTATATTTAACAGTCATAAAATCTACTTCTGAGTTTGTTGATATTAGAGTTTTGTTTTAGATGCTGCATGCCATATATCCGAATTACTTAGACCTCTGAGTAAAGCTAATTTTTCTTCCTAGAACCAAGTGTATAATTTCCGAGGTGACAAGAAATCTCCCACAGAAATTGTAGAATAATAGCATCAAGCAAATGCTTGCTATTCAAAATAGATTTACCACCGTGGTATCTGAAAACCTTATTGTAAGGGTAATAAGCAAAGCATGACTACTCATCTGTCTTTTTTTTTTTTCCATCCACCCTGCAGAGGAAGAAACGTGCATATTAGAATAACGTGGGTTTGTTTTGATGAGTGTTTTCCAATAACATATATTGTGATATGCAAATGTATATGTAAATGAAGAAATATGCTTTGCATTTGGGATAAAAGGGGGTCAAGCACTTTTCTGATTTTTATTAGATCTTCAGGACTGGACCTCAGGAAAGCCCTAAAACCCTTCTCCCCACAGGGAGTTTTAATTTTACTGTGTAGCTTTCATTGTGTGACTGTTGACCATGGTCTCTTCTCTGGAAATTTATCGGTGTTGGTCCCAGGCCATGAAATGCCTTGCAGAGCGTGACTTGGCGCATTCATCATTCTGTGGGGAGCTGGGGTAGAAATCTGAAACGCAGTGGGTTGTGCTTGTGGTAGCTTCTCTTGCGGAGGAAGCAATCTGCTGTGCTCCTGGCTCGCTGGACTTGCCGAGGCGCTGCAAGGTCTCTTGCCCAGAGTATGTCCCGTAGCTGGGGTCAAGGTGAGCGCTGACATGAATAACCACGGTCAGGTCGTTGTCTGTCGGCCTGGCAGGGAGTCTCGGGCGGCGCCAGAGTCGGCATGGATGTTGCTGTGCAAGAGCTTCCTAGTTCTGAGGAATGCAGGAGTGCTTCTGGAGCATGGACTGAGCTGGCAAACAGCTCCACCATAGACTTTCTGTTTGCTTATGCTTCAACTCATGTAGAAATCGCTTTGACTGGAAAAAAGTAAGAGTGCATTCTGTTTTAGTAGGACCAAATTCGTAAACTCTGAACAAAGGCTTTAAAAACACAAACTTGTGCCATTAAGCTGCTTCTACGTGGTCTTTGTGTTCTTGCAGAATTATTTTCAGGATTAGTTTTGGACAATTCTTTTTTTTTTTTTCCTTTTGGGTGATACATATGGAGTGCTGTGAGATTGCAACTTGGCTGCCCTCTTATCCAAGTGCAAACGGGATCAAAATCAGGGAAGGAAACACATGCTGCAGTGATTTCATCACACAGATGCAGCCCTCCTTCCGTCCCCACTCCGAGTACAACTGATGCGGTTGAATAGTGAAGCCAAGCTCCAGGCATCACGGTGCTTGTGGCAGGATTGCTTTTGACCTCACTGCTCCTCAAGATGCCACCTCCTACCCCGCTGCTGTTTAGTAGAAGCTGGCTCTACATTTTGGCATTGACTACCAGTTGGTTTGACCTCTATAGCCCTAACTTGCTGGCAGCTGACTGCAGAAGCTGTTTTTCACTCCCTATATAAAGTATGTTCAACCACAGGTCTTTTAATTTATTAAGTAGAAGTGCCACAGTTTTGAAGCTTTCATTTCCTTCACCAAGCCTGAAATAATTTGAGTTAGTTGATTGCCAGGGCAAAGTTAGATCATTGTCTGTTACAATGAGTTTTAGGAGATGAGCTGTGATGTGTACTCCATCTGAAAATGGGGTGGTTTTGTTTCATTAGTATAAACTTTGCCATGCGATACGGAAACAATGAATTGTGGGCATCTTGCTCCAAGAGCTGTATTTTTATGGCACAGGTGTCGAGAGCACCAGATTGTTGCACTTGGGTTGTGTATAAATCCAAATAAATAAAACCTATGAAGTACTCTATTTATTATGTGTAGATTTAAAGATCTTATGTGTTGGTATTAGTCAGATGTAACTTGCACCAAGGTACATTTTAAAACAGAAAGTCATGTCTAGATGCATATTCTACAACATCATTTTTAGTTTGTGATTATTGCCTAACACATTTAATACTTCTGTGCCCTTCAACTCTGTAACACTGTCTCATGGGAAGTAAATGATTAATTCTCTTACTTCATCCCAAAAGGCAAAGGTAGTTTTTGTCATTCCTTAATCGTACACTTGCATCTATAATAGAAAAAAGTACTGTACTTTTCTGCCTATTCTATATAGGGTCATGCAGAACATAAGACACTCACATATCTGGAATCTCAGTCAAAATACTTTACAAGTTGTTTCCTATCTTGCGTAAAACCTTCCCACAGCCACGTGAGGAGTTCACTCATGAAAAACTCCAACAGCCATACGGCAGATAACTCCAAGCTAACAAGTAATCCAGTAAACTTTCACTTCACAGCAAGACAAAAGTGAGGTCAGTATCTTCTGAAGGAAGGGAAGAGTGTTCTACTTGCTTTTTGAACAGACTAGCACCGATATCACTTAGGTCCCGGAGCTGCGTGGCTCTGTGAAGATTCTCTCTAAAACCTGAAGACGAACATACTTTTATTTTGTAGGAGCTGCTTATACACTTTCAGCAGAACCTTTTCTTTCTGCCACTTGGCATGTGCCACTGTGATGGTCCTTAGGATTCGTGAAATGCCAAGGAATAGGCAGTGGCAGTATCTTGGTGACCATTCCCACCCATCACACCAGCTAGCACTGCTGTTCGTATTTACTGCCACATATTGATGATGTTATAGCCAGAATCCTTTTTACATCTACAGAGCTGTAGGATGTTATATCCCTATCTATCTGAGGCATTATTATCCCAGCTTTCTTGCTAGTGATGCTTTTGCACCTTCAGTACAAGGTTGGGACTTCTTACAAATAAAGTTAGGGCTTTATTTTACCTGTTGACCATCTGTAATGTATACACACTGAAGTGATTCAGGCAAAATACAAAACAACTGAAGCTTCTGTCAAAATCCAAGGTGGAAATGAATATTTGAGGTTTTACACATCCAAGCTTCCTCTGTTTTTCAGGTTTTGGTACTTAGTGTACTTGGTGGCTTTTGGAAGGGTCAGAAAGTGCAAAAACTAAAATCCATGGGGCCATTTCAGTTTCAATAATCATTTGCCCAACACGGGAAATCTCAAAACAACCTCAACTGATCTCAAAACAACCTCTCAACCTGAGAGGAAATGGCTGAGAACTTTGTATGAGTTTAAATATACTCTAGTGATGATATTGTAATTTGGAGGGTGGCCAAAGTGATACAGGAGAACAGGAGGCACCGACTCATCAGAGAAGAGTTGTATAAATAATGCATGTTGTATGTGCCTGAGCGGTGATAGTGCTTTATGAGCCCACCACAGGAGCAGTGGTTAGCTGGGTGGACCAGGAGCCACCTAAGAACAAACAAGGTAGCTGGGACAAACTAGAGTCATTTACCCACTAAACCAATCTAAACAAACTCCCAGCAACAAAACAGTTAACGAAAATACTACAACAGCGAGTTTCAGGTTGACTTGCTAAAGACATTTCTGGCAAACAAGGTAGTTGCAGAAATCATTTAACGTATCTCCACGTGTTGGTGTTTGAACAGAAGAGGACAGCGCTCTCAGGCTGGAGCAGTTATGATAGATTGTTCCCCTGCAAAGAGTCTCACCAAAATAAGGTTTTAGCCTGACAATGTAGACAGGCGTGTCTTCCTTATTCCTTACCCCAATGCAGCAAGCCATGTGTCTCCTTTCCAGGTGACAGACAGGTGTCTAGCAGGCAGATCCCACTGCGTGAAAAAGATGGGAGGTGTTTGCCTTCACTAATTT